AAATGAACAGACATTTCTCACACAAAGAAGTAGACATGGCAAATAAACATATGAAAAAATGTTCAACATCACTGGTCATTCGAGAGATGAAAATGAAAACAATGCTGAGATTCCACCTCACTCCAGAAAGAATGGCTGCTATCATGAAATCAACCAACAGCAAATGCTGGCAGGGCTGTGGGGAAAGAGGAACACTGCTCCACTGGTGGTGGAAGTGTGGACTGGTGCAAGCATTGTGGAAATCAGTATGGAGATACCTCAAAGAACAAGGATTAGTGGTCCCATTTGACCCAGCTATTCCTCTGCTGGATATCTTCCTGAAAGAATTGAATCATACCACAGTGATGTATGTGCACCCATGTGTATAGCAGCACAGTTTGTAATAGCTAAAAATTATAAACAGCCCAATTGCCCATCAACTGGAGACTGGATAAAGAAACTATTTTTTAAAAAATAAAATGGAGTACTACTCAGCCATAATGAATGAGAAATTAGAGGTATTTATAGCTAAATGGATGCACATTGATGTGATACTCTTAACTGAAATAAATAGGAAAGACATGTCTAAATACCAAATAGTTTCTCTGGTGTGAGAAACTAAAAGTGTAAATAAGGATCAAAATGTATAACAGGTAATGTGAAATAGGAAGCAAAGGTGCAAAGGGGAAGGGGAAGTAGGAGGGGCAGGGGAAAGGAAAAGGGAATGGAATTAATATGAGAAAAGGAAAAATCAAAACGAAGCCTTTGTAAAGAAGGAGTGATGGAGGGGTTGAATGGAGGGCAGGGGAATGGGAAAAAATAAGAATCAAGATATAGTATGTAAAGTTACAAATCTCCAATGATGAATGTCATTATATTGTGTACCTCAAATGTGCCACTAAAATTAATTTTTAAAAAACCCAATGGCTAAATTCATTAAATGGTAAGAAACAGAAGGCTTTCCCTCTACGATCAGGAACAAGACACGGATGTATGCTGTCATGACTCCTGTTTGATATAAATCTTTACACCTTAGTCAGAATAGTCAAGTGAAAGCAATGAAAGACACATTTATAGGAAGGGAAGAAAAAGATTATCATTATTTTTAGATGACATGATCTTCTACATAGAAGATCTAAAGAATCCACTAAAACCTCCAAAAATTAATAACCAAATTTATTAGAGCAGGAGGTCACAAAGTCAACACACAAAAATCAATAGTGTCTCTGCACACCATTAATAAACTCATTGAGCAGGAAATGAGGAAAACAATACCTTTCATGATAGCATCATTAAAAATGAAATACTTTGGAATTACCCTAGTGGGGAAATTGAAAGACTTCTACAATGAAAAGTACAGTACTCTGAAAAATGAGATTGAAGAAGATATTCGAAAATAGAAAGACATCCCATTCCTGGTGACATAGAATGAATATAGTAAAAATGGACACATGTTCAAAAGTGCTAGTATAGAAATTTAATGCAATCCCAATAACATTCCTCACAGAAGTATAGAAAACAATCCTAAAATTCATACGGAACCAGAAGACACCTAGAATATCAAAAGAGTCCCTAGGCAACAAGAGCCAGGCAGGAAGCATCACAGGTCAGAACCTGAAGTTGAAGTGCAAATGTATAGCAATAAAAAGAACATGGTACTGGCAAAAAACAGAATGATGAACGGAACAGAAAAGAGGGCACAGAAACAACAACACCAAGCTACCTCAGCTACCTGATCTTTGACAAAGGGGCCAGGTACTTTCCCTGGAAGAAAGAGAGCCTCTTTGACAACTGGTGGTGGGATATTGGCTATCTACATAGGGAAGATTGAATCTAGACCCATATGGCTCAGCATGCACTAAACTAAAATCAAAATGCAGCAGTGGCCCACATCCTCTCGCTGTGACCTAGCTAAGTCCAGTCCTCTCTGCTCCCCAGACAATAAGCACAGGTCTCAAGGCAATGCTCTCTTTTGCGTCTCCTAGTGGCCTGACATAAAAAGGGACTGATGACCTCAAGCCCCCCTCTCCAGTGTTGGTCTGTAAGAGAGGCAGATCCAGGTTATTTGGGTAGACTCCCTGACTTCAGGCTTCCTCACTGCCCTCAGGGCCTCATCTTGACCTAACTTAGCCCAGGTCCTCTCTGCTCCTCCCACCTGGAGCTCAGTCCTCAAAACTAGGTTCTGAGCCTCCTCTCCTGGTGCCCTAAGGAGAAAGGGATGCTCCCTTGAGACATTTTTCCCCTGATGCAGGGCTTCATTGACCTACCTGACCCCAGGCCTTTTGCTACTCCCACCTGAAGCATAGTCCTTAGAAAAAGGATCTGATTCTCAGTTCCTATTGAGGAGAAAGAGGACGATCTCCAGAGAATTCTGCATTGTGAGGTGCAGGTCCAGCAAGAGAGGCTCTTCTAGAACATTCTGAGATCATCTCACTAGGATGGGGATTGCTCAGTACCACCAACAGCCCCTCATCTAGACCTAACTGATCCCCGGCTCTCTCTGCCTCACTTACCTTAAGTTCAGTCCTCAGAAAAAGGCTCTGATATTCTCGCAGGACACGGGGAGGACAAAGGGGTCCTCTCCTGAGAATTCTGCATCTCCTTCTGCAGCATAGGCAACAGAGGCTGTTACAGAATATTCTGGGATCCTCCCTCTTGATTGAAGCTTCCTTATTCTTCTCACATCACTCAAATTGACCTAACTGATCACAGATTCTCTCCAGTTCTCCCTCCTGAAGCCAGGACCTCAGCAAAAGGCTCTGACTCTGCACTCAGTGTCCCCTGAGGCAAAATTGAGACCTCACCACAGAATTCTTCCTAGAAGTATAGGGCTAACAACAGTGTAAATCTGGTTCCAGGTCCCTTCCTCTGGGGTGGGGCTTCCTCACTCCCCCCACAACCCCTCCAGATGGCCCATAACTGAGCCCAGCCCTATGTGCTTGCTCACCTGAAATGTACAGCTCAAAACAGGACCTCTTGTAGTTCTGAACCAAAGTGGAGGCAGTGAGTGTATGTCTTATCTGGCGAAGTGCACGAGGTCTCTGAGGGCTGGCAGTAGGAGGGCAAAGGAATTCTCCAGGCTCCTCCCTCCTCCCTAGGGATCAACACCTTGGTCCCTGTCAGAGCTTGTTCTCTAGTCTTCTATGGACCTGATTCTGTTCCCTTCTGTCCAACTTGCTATTTCCTGGATTGACTGAGGCTGCAGCTCATTCTAACAAATCGGCCCCTGTGTGGTCCAGGGCTGACAAGAGAGAAAGATCTGGAAGTTTGGGACCCTCTCTGTGAGTTGGGATAACTCCCCTTCCTCTACATCCCTAAAGGACCCCACCCACTGTATTCCTCTCATCTGAAGCCTGAGCCTAACAACAGATCCTCCTGTTGCTCTAACCCAATGAGACCCAGTCAGTGGACCCCACCTATAGTGAAGTGCCCCGGGTCTCACAGCAGAAGTATTCCCACATCCTCACTAGTGATCCTTAGCTTGGTTCCTGGGAAAGCCTGGACCCCCGTCCTCTATGGACCTGAATCTGTTCCCCTCAGCCAAGCACCTGACTCTCAAGCTCCTCTGAGTGGCAATGTGGAGTCACTTGAAAATCTGGGCAGTGCAGGAACAGCAAAACAACATATCTGGATTGTTTGGGGACCCTCTCTCTGGGGTGGGGCTTCTACACTTCCCCTTCAGCTCTTACCTTGGCCCCTAACAGAGCTGGGGTCCTCTCCACTCCCCTCACCTGGAGTGCACACCTCAGAACAAGGCCATCTCCCTGGCCCCAAGAGGTGACAGTCAGTAGATACGATATCCATCATTGTGCCTGGGGTGTGACAGGAGGTTATTAAGTAGATTCATTCCTTAGGGCACTTTTGTCCTTCCTAGAGGTCTTCACTTTGGTTCTTGACAAAGCCTAGAGCCCTGTCCTCCATGGACCTGGAAATGTTCACCTCACAGGACGAATCTGACTCCCAGGGTTCCCTGGGGCAGAAGGGAGGAGACTCTTCTTTGATCATAGAATAACTATGGCTGCTATGCATGATTCACAGCTGTACATTCTTTTCCATTTCTCTTGCATTCTTTACGTCCTGTTAAGCAGCAGTTGTATTGGAAGTGTCCCCACCCACCAGGGTGGGCACAGGGTGTTACAGCAGAACCTCTGCAGCCATGCTCTCTCCACTTTCCTGCTGGCCTCATGTTTCCCCTGGATCACTGAGATCCCTGCTGTGAGGTGCGGCCTCAGACCGTGCAGGGTAGTAGAGGCAGGAGTTTAAACTTTCTTCCAACTCGTGCTGTTAGGAGCCAGCTATGCAGGCCCCAGTGCAGACCCCCACCTGCTCTGCCCCATCCACGCTCCAGTCCCAGGTCAGCAGTCTTCAGCCTCCCCCAGGGATCCCTCATGTTGGGAGCTTTACATTGAGTTGCTCATGCGTGTTCGTTAGACTTTACTCCACCTCTCTTCTGTTGTTTTCAACAGTTAATTCAGGAAGCAAAATGAAGGAGCCTAGCTTGTCATTTTGGCCTCTAAAGTTAAGATGTTTTCTCTCACAGGTGAGAAATCTCATAAATAAATGTCTGTTACTATTAATAGATATAGATAAAGTAGATAAAATATGGATCCAAGGTTTATTCTTTGCATATGAATATCCAATGTTTTCAGAAGTAGTTGTTTTAGTGACTCTCCTTTCTTTCCTGTAATGTTCATTTACATCTTTCTCATAATTAGTTACTTGTATATGCAGATCCTTGTGATTTATCCCTGCACTTCATTCTGTTACATTGATATGTTCATAGAGTTATTTAGCTGTCTTGTTTGTTGTTAGTTTATAAGTTTTGAAATGAAGTAGAGTATCTTCTTCAACTTTGTTCTATGTTAAAGAATTTACTTGGCTGTTCTAGGACTTCTACATTTTTCATGAATGTTAGACTTAGGTGTTTTACTTGGAGGCTATTGAATTTAGGTATTTGGGAATAATTATTTATAGTAATACTATTAAATAATGTGGGCATTGATCAAAACTTATATCTCTATTTATTTAGATCTTCATTATCTCTTCTTTCCAACGTATTTCTCAATTTACAGACCTTCTTCTGTGAGACTTATCCTTTTAATTCATACTTTCTAATCTTATTTTAAATCATATCATTTAATACTAATTTCTAATTCTTCATATTCAGTATAAAAGTGCAAGTATAATGATCTTGTATCCAGTAACATATGTAAACTCAATGATTAGCTCTAGAGTAGTTTTTAGTGACAGAAAATTATGCTTACAGTTTCTTATTTTCTGTAAATAGTTTTACTTCTCCCTTGTGGAGACCTTTGTACAAATCTTATTCCATTGAACAGATGTTGAACCATCGCACTGAACCCCATCCTCCTCTGTGAATTCATCATTCTTCATTTCTTATTAGTACAGTCACTATGGAAAACAGTGAGGTTCATCAAAACACTCACATACAACCATCATGATAACCGAGGAAATAAACATATGCATCACCTTCAAATTTTCGCTATATTCCATATGTCTTGGTTTTTAATGTGGTAGGAATCCACAGCATGAGATCTACCCTGCAATAAATTTTGAAGCTCACTACACCGTACTGTGAACTGTAGGCATGTGTTGGGCCGCAGATCTCTAGGCCTCACCCTCCTTGCTCGACTGAAATGTTATCTAAGTGAGCAACAAGGCCCACTTCCTTCTCCTCCCAGACCCTGACCACCCTCACTGTATTCTCTGCTTCTATGAGTTTGA